CTTAGGTGGTATCGTCTTATCAACTTCCTTACCACTCTGAAGAGTAGTATTAGACTTAAGATGCTCAAGATTTGGCTCAGAAGACTCTACCATGTGCGAACCTTTGGGGTTTCTTGTAGTTAAGTAGAGAATTATCCCTTCTCTTGTTGCATCAACCCCAAAGTATTATTGATTCTTATAACCTGAGTCTTAAGTTCATTCAAAGCCTCTGCAACTTGATTATTTCTAATGTTTGGCTCTAAATGTGTTGTTGCAATGAGTCATCCGCGTTACGCTTATGCGGTGGTTAGTATGTAGGTGTTGTGGGTTGATCTTAATGGACAAACCCTTGTGCTTGCAATTGTGGTGGTGGGTTCAAAACAAATCCATGTTGTAATGGTCCTTGCGTGGGGACTTGTGGTATGTTAAACTGACCATGACCTAGGTAGACTTGATTTGGCTAATTTGTGGTAGAGGGATAACGCATTTGTGCTTGAGGTTGGACAGTATTGTCATTTCTCCAACTAAAGTAGGGATGAGAATGATATCTCGATTTATATTTGTTGAAATTTGGATTGAATGACTACCTACGTTGATTGAATGCATTAACCTGCTCATGCATTTCCTTTAATGAATGCAAGTTTGGGCACTCATTTTTGGAATGCTCAACCGACTGACATATAGAACAAAGATCCTTAACCTTTGGCACACTAGTTATCTCATTAACCTTTTGAAATTTCAAACTTTCCACTTTCCTTGAAAGGTTGGCAATTTTGGCTAAAAGATCATCATAATCTCTCAAAAGATATTTACCACATCCAAACGATTAAGTAGCTATCAATGATGTTGATTGCTTAGTGGGATCCAAAATATTCCATGACTGGGCACTCTCCGCCAAACAATCAAAATAATCAAGAGCTTCCTCAAATTCTTTATTCAAAAATTCTCTGTTACACATCATGTCAATGAACTGATGATGTGCAGGGATAATTCCTTTGTAGAAGAAGCTTCCCATCTGTCATGATTTAAAGCCTTGGTGCGGAACAGAGCTTAGAAGTTCTTTGAACCTTTCCAAACATTCATAAAACTGCTCATTGAGTTTTCAACAAAATTCTAAATTTACTTTTATTAGCAATTTATGAAGCAAGTCGATAATGTATTTGGTTAAGATCTATGATCTAACATAAAAGAGTAAAGTGCACTATTTTCAATCAAAGACATTCCAACAATATTATACGAGGACAATACAACTTGTATCACACAGCTCAAGGAATAATATATCAAAGGTGACAAAACAAATCATATCTCACCAAAGTTCTTTTACACTCATGAACCAAAGAAGAATGGTAATATTAATATTCATCAAATTCGTTTGACTAAAAATCTGGTAGATTTGTTCATTAAATCACTTCCACCGACTATATTTAGAAATTAGTGAACCACATAGAAATGCGGCATCTCAAAGATCTATCAAGCTGAATAATCATTATTTTAATTGCATGTATTCATTAAAGGGAGGTATGTACTTTTTTTTCCTTTGCTAAAGTTTTTAATGATGTAGTGTATAGGATATCTACATGTAAATTTGCACACGGTATTCTTTTTCCTTCGTCCATGATTCATCCCATTGGATTTTACTAACAATGTTTTCATTATGCAGTATTCAAGAGTCCAACACTAAGTATAGTAGTCATATAAGGGGAAGTATAGAAAAATATGGCATGTGGGTGTGGATGTCCATTGTCATCACTCCATTGAATACTTTGTCCCAAGCCTCTCTACAGACTGTCCTGAAAATTGCCTACAAAAAGGCCTCAAATTATTGAATCAAAACACACCGAATGAATATCTCTCTCTCTCTCTCTCTCTCTCTCTCTCTTATAGTATTGTTTCTATCTCTCAATTTATTTGTTTGAGTTAATTATTTTCACCTATATTAATTTGCTAGTTTTATAACACTAAAAGCTAGCTTCACTACTCAGGTGGGGTGATAGTTTGCTAACATGAAAATACCACTACTTTCAAAAAAAGAGAAAAATGGGCTCATCAGGCCAAGTGACGAAGCAGCCGTGGTTCAAATGGATCAATATTGATACAGTTTGGCCATGATGTGTTTGGGTTGTTGCATCTTTCAATTTGGTCGATGGTATTTATGATGCCCTGATATAATTTATATCTAATATTCAATTTGTTCTTCTTAAAGAATACCGTATTTGGTATCATAATGAAATTTATAATTTTTAAGATAAAGTTACAATTTTTAAAGTCTAAGTTATAACCGTAAAAAATATGATCGATCTCAAAATGTTATAATAGATTATGATCGACCTCTAAGAGTAGTCTAGTAAAGACCGTGATGAGTTGTAAAATCAGACATTATAAATTCAAAATTTATTAATTCTTTTGGGATTAGATCAGAAAGATGATGATTACTTTTAATCGGATCAATAAGATGTTTAGTTGGGTGGGCGTAAATTAATTCACACATTACTGACTGTAATTAAAAATAAATAAAATTACAAATGACTAGGATTATTCATAATCGATCACAACATTTAACAATCGATCATGAATTAAGTCAAACAATTGTAACATTATAATTAAAATACACAACTTAACTTTAAAAAATAATAATTTTAGATACCGTACTAATTTTTTTTTCCAGTAAAATTACTCTTAACATTATATGCATATCGGCTTATATTGTTTTGTTTGTGTTATCACGGTCGACACATCTTAGCAGACACAGTAACATTTGAATTGATGAATGATAGCACAAATTTACCACCAACCGCGTAGACCAACTAGGGAGGGGATGTTCTAGTTTAATTAAGGTCTTCAGTTAAAGATTTAGGAATGTTGATGCGTTCTGGTGGGTGAACTTTACCGCCCTTGTGGTACTATCCGGCTCGAATCTGAATTAGTCAGAGTCTGTTGTAACTATCAAATACCGGATGGTCCGACTAAAGAAAAAGAATGATAGCGCAAACCAGGAAAGGATGCAACCTACACGTGACTGGGCCACCATATTCATTTGCTTTTGTGTCATAGTAACACGTTTTGTCATTTTTGTTGTATGGTTAGAGCTTCTTCAAAATAGAGATGTTAAATTTAAATTTGAAGGTTTATATGACAACCGATATGTCTAAGTAATTTATTTTATTATATTTTTTATGTTTAAATCAATTATTTTTAATTATATTATTACATTAAACACTCAGTAATTCTATAAAATATTACATTAAAAGAATTTGACAGATCAATTAAAATAATTTCTTTCAGTCCCGGTTGAAAAAAAACAAAGGAAGGCATGCCCATAAGAAGTCCGCTGGAGCCGCGTTTTACATGTCGGTTGGGTATGGTCTTAGATCCAGAAATGGGATAGCTGGAGTAGGACTGCACATCATGCGAAAGAGAAATTGGGGATGTCGGTGATACTGATTGGTGGACACTGACTACCAAAAGATTTGGAAACATTATAAGGCTGTGTGTTGGATAAAAATCTTGATAGTGTCGGTTCGAGCATGCAAACATACGGTGTGGGGGCATAGAGTAAAGTTAGGTCTACATTCAATCTATTTCTCTCCAACATAGTTAAAAAATAAATTTGGCACTATATTTTGTAAAATTCACGAATAACTTAGATCCTTGTTTGATTTTTTAGTTTTATTCTAATGAATAATATATTTGAATATTAATTACGATTTTTTAAGAAAAAATTAAAATTTTATTTTTAATTTTATTTTAATAAATGATACAATATAATATGAATTTTGATTATAAAATATAAAATATAAAATATTTTGTATTTGATTAGAGTTTTGTGATCTAAATGTAATATTTTAAATATAAAATGTCTAAATATTATGTGCTTATAAATTTAAGAAATTTGAGTATAAATTATTAAACGGTTTAAGTACTATGTACAAACTTAAGATGATTTATGTGTAATATTTTAAATATTAGGGAGAATTACACATAGACTCTCTAAAATTTGTTATTTAATCACTCGGACCCTAATATTTGAAATATTATACACAAACTTCTTGCGCGTAACATTTACACCCTTTTAATAAATATATTTTAATAAATTACACTTAGACTCCCCTAAAGTTTATGGATATATAATGCTTAGATCTTTTAAGTTTAAAATATTATACTTAGACCAAAAATACTCCAATTAAATATAAAATATTATAAATTTTACAATTAAAATTCATGTTTTGTTGTATCATTTATTGAAATAAAATAAAATAAAGATTTAATTTTTTCTTAAAAAAATCGTAGTAGGATAAATTATACTATCTATTGGAATAAAATTAAAAAATCAAATAATAGGTCTAAGTCATTCATAATAGAACATGGATTTTACATTCAAAATTTATGTTCTATCATGTCATTTATTGAAATAAAATCAAAAATAAAAATTTATTTAAAAAAAACATTATTAGTATATATTTATATTGTCTATTAGAACGAAACTAAAAAAATTAAATAAGGAATCAAAATGTAATTGACACAATATCTTTTAAATTTAACTGAGGTAGTTTGATATTTTAATTTGGTCGTTTAAACGACTAAATTAAATTCTAATAGATAATACAATTGTATACTAATTACAATTTTTTAAGAAAAAATTAAATTTTTATTTTTGATTTTATTTTAATAAATGATACAAAAGAACATGAATTTTAGTTGTAAAATTAAAAATATTTTATATTTTATATTTGGTTGGAGTATTTTTGGTTTAAATATAATATTTTAAACTTAAATAGTTTAAGTATTATATACTCACAAACTTTAGAGGATTTAAATATAATTTATTAACGGATATATTTATAATAGGATTCAAGTGTTATGCACGTACCAATTTTATGGAGTTTGTATGTAATATTTTAAATATCAGAGAATTTAAGTAATTAAGTGATAAATTTTAAAAGGTCTAAGTGTAATTATTTCAAAATATTATAAGGTCCGACAAATTCTCCCATTAAATAATGTTTCAGAACTCGCATCTCCGACATCTCCTACCTCTCTCTCTCAAACAAACTCAAAACTAACACACAGATACACAGTCGAAAGAATAAGAGAACAATGGGATCTCTCTCTTCGCCATCAGTGCTCTCTCTTCCCTCCAAGCCTACCACCCAAATAGACCCAAACCATCTTCTAAACCTCTTCAAATCCCAACAAAAATACCTTAATCACTTCTTCCAGAACCTAGACCTTACACAAACCCTGACCTTCACGCAAACCTTGTTGAAAACCCAAGGCACCATCTTCTTCACCGGCGTCGGAAAATCCGGCTTCGTCGCCCAAAAGATATCCCAAACTCTCATTTCCCTCGGAATCAAATCTGGGTTTCTCTCTCCAGTCGATGCCCTTCATGGAGACATTGGCATTCTATCAAACCAAGATATTTTGGTTTTGTTCAGTAAGAGTGGCAATACAGAAGAATTGCTAAGGCTTGTGCCTTGTGCGAAGGGTAAGGGTGTTTTTCTGATCTCTGTGACATCAAAATTGCCTAATTCTTTGACGGGTTTGTGTGATATGAATGTGCATTTGCCTTTGGAGAGAGAGTTGTGCCCATTTGATCTGGCTCCGGTGACCTCGACCGCAATACAGATGGTTTTTGGTGATACTGTGGCGATTGCTTTGATGGATGCGAGAAACTTGACGAAGAATGAGTATGCAGCGAATCATCCAGCTGGGAGGATTGGGAAGAGCTTGATTTTTAAGGTCAGAAAAAGATGTTGTTTTGATGTAGCTTTGGGAATTTCTTGGGTTTCCTAATTTAGTTTGTGTGAATGTAGGTTTGGATCTAGGTGACATTTAATAGACCTAGGGCTTGTCTATTGAATTACATGTTCTTTAATATCATTTTGATTTGGGTTTCTACAGACTTATCCCCTGATCATAGCTGTTGTATGTGGGTATTTTTGTATGAATTTATGTACTCAATTAATATCCTTATTTTAGGCAAAATAGGGGTAGTCCAATCTTTGACGGCATTGGCTACTTCCATGCTGGTAAATTCTCTGCCAGAACCCATTGATCATATCTTTCTCTCTCGCATATACAAACACAAAAACAAAAAAGCTGACTTATTATGTTAGGATGTCTTTGATTGTTGCCTGAGATCCAATAGCCCTCTTAGTGTATTGATGATGAGAAAGTTGTTCCCCCTTCAAGCCATAGTCCTCTATTCATTTGAAGATGTGAAGAGAAATCTGGGGCAGAGCCTAATTTTGGGATTTCTTTCTGCAATTCATGTAGTGATGATAGGTCTCATTCAGGAGAAAAGGTTAGTGATTCTTATCTGAACAGTAGAATTGAAAATCTCCGAACAAAAGGTTGGGCATCTAAGGCGGACATGAGCATGCAAAAGGGATCCATCAAACTCTCGCGTGCATGCACAAACAATCTCTCTCTATGTGTATGTATATGTGTGTGCCTGTGTGTGAAGTAGCTGAATTTTTAAGAGGTTGGTTAGAGATGCATCTCAATGATAATGGGTTTCAAATCAGAACATTTCACAATGATGCGTCATCGGCAACTTTGGTGGCTCTGTGTGTGTGTGTGTGTGAGAGAGAGAGAGAGAGAGAGAGAGAGAGAGAGAGATTGTGTTTATGCATTGGTCAGTGCAACTGAAATGGGATGGAGGAAAATAAGAAGTGGAAGATGAAAATACCGTCTGAGTAGTGAAGTATTAGAACGTGGGGAAAATTTTTTCGAGGGTAAAAATAGGGTTGATAGCAATTCTCATATCTGTGTATTTTGTATATATATTTATGTATGTGCACACACAGTCCCATCCTCATAAATATGGATGTATAAATATTCCAATATGCAAGTGTCATATTTTTGCAACATACGTGTGCCTCCGTTTGCAAGATTGCATCTTGGTTGGGTATAAATCTTGCACAATATATGTCACTATTTCTATTGATAATGTTACTCTTTGATGTAGTTGTTATTGATGACATAAATCTCGATATGGGTATATTGTGCTAGAATCAATTATGACTAGTTAGTGTTTATAGTTTGCTTAGTCAGAGATAATATGTCCGCAACCCCCCCTCCCCATTTTCATCTCTATCCATTTACTTTGTTTATATGTTACATCAGCTAGAGGTTGGCTATATAGATATAGATTGGTTGATAAATACAAAGATCTAAAAAGTTTCATTTGTTGCCAATTGATTTTTTTTGTCCGCTTCTTATTTAGATGAAGTTGGCTGTTACAGTAGTAAGGTTAATTGGAAATTTTCTTTATATTAGAAGGATTTTATCGAACTCGTCATCAGTTTGAACACTGGCACCTGTAAAGTACAAGATTGGGAAAATTGGTTTATACCCAATCTTGGGCAAGTTTTTTCATTGGTGATCTTTGGTAGTCAAAAGAGAAATTACATTTTATCGATTCCTCAACCTAAAATCCTACACTTAGAATGCGAATCTTTTCCCTGCTTATAAACCCTTTGGTGGCTCTCGTCCTGAGAATTGCATTGTTTCCTTAATTAACACCTCCAAATCTAACCAAACCTTTCTTTCACACACTAAAATTTTGACCCATTACCAGATTCCTGTGTGCTTATCAATTTTTTTGTCCTCCAGATATCTCTATTCATTATTTATGTATCACAAAGCTGAAAATTTGAATTTGCAACATGTTAGTTTCAAGTGGATCTGTGTTGGTATTTGTATCTGTGTCAGTTATGTTTGCCACAATTGGTTTTGCTTGCTAGAAGTCGGAGATGAGATGGACTGAATATGTTGGGTTGCAGGTCAAGGATGTTATGAAGAAGCAAGAAGAACTTCCAGTCTGCAGAGAAGGAGATTTAATAATGGACCAACTAGTAGAGCTAACCAGTAAAGGATGTGGATGCCTCCTTGTCATCGATGGTGAGTTTCATTTGATAGGCACATTCACAGATGGCGATTTGCGGCGCACCCTGAAAGCTAGTGGGGAAGATATCTTCAAGCTCACAGTGGGTGAGATGTGCAACAGGTAAAATTCTCATTCAAGATCTTGGGGTTAAATTTCACCGTGTTAAGCACCTCACTTAGGAATTTGTCATTGCATTCATCTGCACAAATGTATACTTGACAGACTGTCTAGCTTGGACACTTGCTTTCACTGAAAAAAACAAGATGCTTTAAAACCCTCCAATTAATTCATTTATTTTATGATATTTCTTTAGAGTTAGACCTATTAATGCTGTTTTTCTCCGGAGAAGTGCTTATAGATTTACATGCAAATAAGGTAAGGAGTTAATTCATATGTCCGTTTGCAATTGTATTCACAACTTTTCTGGCACTCCAGGAATCCGAGGACAATTAGTCCCAATGCAATGGCAGTGGAGGCAATGCAGAAGATGGAGGCTCCCCCGTCTCCCGTTCAATTCTTGCCTGTCATCAATCATGAAAACATCTTGATTGGTATTGTAACATTGCATGGATTGGTCTCAGCTGGTTTGTGACTTTATCTGGATGTACTGCAGTTGTATCTCCTATATTTTGCCATGTTGATTCATTGTATTCTTTCAAGATCCTCCTTCGAGGTTGTCTCTGTTCTTTAGGTGATTGATTTGTTCTAGTAGGGAATATATTGGGCTATAATATCTTGATTCCCAAGGCTGTAGCATTGGAGGAATTTTATCAATTTAATAGATCTTTGAGAATTACAAATTAAGATGGGTGTTAAAATTGTTAGTTTGTATTTCAATCCTATTAGGTTCCTTCAAGGTAAGGAACATGAGCTGCGAATTAATAAACGCAGCCGAATCTGTTATGCATGGGCTAAGCAAGCCTGTTTAACTGAGTTCAGGTACATGGTTGTCTTCATGGTGCAGTGAAGGCTTGCCTGCTCAATATGGTGGCCAAGTCCTAGGTGGAACATTTGCCCATATTAAGGCACACCTTGTATCATCTCATTACGTGAGAATAAAACAACAGAGAGTAAATATAGGGAATAACAGTAACACCACGTCGTAAGAATGACAATTTTTCATCATTATATGTGGTGTCATTATTTAATAATAAATTAATTATTTGCATACATTCGATTGGTAATTATTATTAATAATGATAGATTTAAGTTTGGACATTCTTCAGAATCCAAAACCCTTTGGGCTCAGTTAAGATGACTCAAGCGTCTCATTCAGATATTGTTCATTGAGCCTGAGCTAGACTGTGGCCCACTCCATAGAAGCACGCAATAAATCAGCTCGAAGTAGATGACAGTTTGACATCGGCAAACTCAATATAGGCATCAGCTTAGGAAATGGGACCATGGCACCAGGCTAGTCCCCAAGCGTCATGGGTGTCAAACGTATAATGTTCGTATGACCTACATGTCGTGTTATTTGTGTCATGTCATGTTAGTGTCGAGACCCACGAAAAAAAAAATTTATTTAGTATGTTTTTAGTATTAAACATTAGTCTAAACTATTTATTATACGTATTTAATAATCGTGTCAATTTTATAATCGTCTGTGTCGGATTCGTATTAACTGGTTAGAGTTGACACCTCTGCCAAGAGTTGCAGCGCAACACGTGGACAAGGGACAAGAGGTTAGTATCTGATAATCTTAATGAACGAATATCCATGGGTAATAGAGATGACTCATATATTTCAATCAATGTGTAGTGGGTGCAGAAAAACGTCAGGGATAACAGATCCAATAACAAGACAAGCGAAATGGGGACCACAGAATCAGCCAGGAAAGGGATCGCCACGAAACCCTAATAACGGGATGGATAAATAGCAAACGAAAAGAGGATACTGCCCAACAATAACCTAGGCAATATTGTGAAAAAGGCTTCCAGCCAAATATCTTGTAACAATAATCTTCTTTTCTAAGCAATACAATATCCAAGGAGTAAAAGTCTTCCTTATAGTGGATGTAACTTTAGTCATTCGGCTAAGGTGAATTGCTCATATTGTTATTTTTGTCTTATATTTAACACTTAACACACTTTCTATCACATACGCACATTCACACATTATCTGGGCAACATTCCCAATTTTTCTGTAGTAAGGTCCAGTCGATTTTGAGCACCATTAATTCTATTAAATAGGGTCTATTTGTCTAAATATTAACTTGTTATTAAATAATGACACCATATAATAATGATGACATGTCACCGTTGCATTCAATATTTTCATAACATTTTGGGAGACTTTCATAATTTAATACAATTACATATTGCTCCTTTCTTGCCTGAAGTTTGCACTTCATATCTATTTCGTTTGCTGAATTCCTATTGAACGCCAGCTATTGGTGTTTAAAAGTTATCTGTAATTCGAGCGATGAGCGACCAAGGAACTATCTAGATCTCTGGTTTAACTTCACCATCATGTATTTATAGATGGATTATTACGAGAATGCATCATTAATTATTCGCGGTTGCCAATTAACAATGTGGTCAAGATGCTTAGTTTACTTCATTATGAAATCTTCTATTCCAATTTTTTTTTGCTGGTAATTCTATTCCTATTGGTTGAGTGACCTCTGAGCAGAAAAGAAGCTTCGCAACTAACTATGGAGGTTAACCGTCATACAAACATCTATTAAACCTTATCATTTTTGTTTATATCAATGAAGTCTCATTTTTAATATTTTATTTCAATTAAGTCGTAATTCAATAATATTCTAATTTTATCCTTACTCTTTAGTTAAGAAAACACTTTCATTCTTTTACATTATTATGTCAACTCAACGACACACTCTTGGAGTATTTCAATTGTTATGTAACTTTGCATTCTTTCTAGTGTGTAAACTTCAGCGGCACACCCTTGGAACTTTTCAATTGCTATGTGATGTGTTTTTTTCTTACAACAAGTTAATTCTTACTTCGATAAAGGTAATATTATTAAATTACATATTTTATTGATACATTATCTCGTTGGTTTTAAATTATTCTATTAATTTATATTGGATTTAAAATGATTAATTTAGGAATTTATTTTAGTTATTGTGTGTGAATTGATAACGAAATTAGAGTGAAATTAATCGACAAATATTATCGATGTAGTTTTTTTTTAAACTTTCTTATTTTATTAAATAATTCGCAAATATTGTCTCAAATTTTAAGATTGGGTACCCCAATAAAATAAGAAAATATGGACTTTCTTTGGATTTAGACATGAAGTTTATATTAGCTAAGTTTTTTTTTAATTTTTTTTATAGGGTTTCAATGTTAGTTTTGTAAGTAAGAAATTTTTGTCCTCTTAATTGGTTCAAAGAATGGAAAAAAATAAAAGAGTTTTGATAATTAAAGGGTAATGATAAAATTAGAATATAATGGAATTTAAGACTTAATTGAAATAAAATATCAAGAATATGACTTCATGATATAAAACAAAAATGATAGGACTATGGATTTTTGTGGGGAAAAGTATTACTTATTACTAATTTTTCCTATCTATACTATCACAAAATGTTAACAAAAATGAAAAACTTTTGATTGATTGCAATAGGCTTTAAAAAATTACTAATGTCACTTATATCCTATCCTTTGTTATCTTTATTACTCTTTCTTTGGAAATATTAACCGACTTCCCTCTTCAATACCCAAGTTAATTGACATTAGTAATTAATACAATAAACCCAATTTTATCCTTCATGACTTAATAATAACTATTAAAGACATTTTTTAGAAACGTCATTTGGACCAACGTTTTCTGTAAAAGTCATTTACACTAATGCTTTATATCCCCACTAGCCTCTCCATCGCAACACAATAATTCAACTAAAAATGTAACTTGGACCGACGCTTGTAATGATAAAACCATTATTTTAAATAACGTTTTATCATTAAAAACGTCTATTGAAATGAATTTTTTAAAACTACCTGAATTTAGGAATTAGTTTTGAAAACAACTCTCTTTTGAATATAAATTTGAAAAACCCCATGATTTTGGGTAAAAGCTCAACCCATCCAGTCACCACTTTCAATACTTCAGCCTGATCCCATTTCAGCCACCACATTCGATACTTCCTCCAATTTTTGCATTGAGGATTGCTTGAGCAAGTAGTGATTCTCTCTCTTCCATGATCTTTTCTATGAATGGTTGCCTCATAGTTCTATTTTTTTCTCTATGCCAGAATCTAGAAATTATTGGGTTTTGTTCAATTAAAGAAAACAATAGAAAATGATAGGCTAATTCTCAATAGTTTTTTTTTGGTTGTTTATTCTTGTTGATTCATAATAACTTCATACCACCAGAATGAACATATGTGACTTTATGTTTTAATACCTAGTCAATTTGTCATTTTTGTTTTTTCTTGGTTATGATCTCTTAATAACTTGTCATCTTTTTTTCTTTTTTAAGTAATTTGTCACATCTAAGCTTCTTAGTTCTATCATATTTGATTTTTTTTTTTTTCAGAATGTAGCAACTTAGAATATGGGTTGCAGAATTGGTCAAATGATTGATGAATTGTCAAACTTGCCCCTGAATACGTTCACAACATCTAGAAATAGAGCTTTGCCAATATTGAGTACTCTGCCAATTCTCTTACTGAAGATTGTGAAAATTGGGTAATGAAAATAAGTGGGTTCTTGATCACCTTAGTGGATCAGGTTCTAATTGCTGATTTTATGTTCTATTTTATTGAACTTTTTGTTGGCTTTTTTCCCTTTCTTTTCTTTATTTCTTTGCCAGTGCGTCCTTTTTTTTTCTTCAAAAAGGTAAATATATTTTATTGATCAAAAACTTTATAGTTACTAGGTGCCTTTACATTCATAACAGGCACCAACTTTAATAACAAAATGATGGTAAGTCTTCCCTCAAGTAACCCAAAGTCAGAAGGAAGTATAGTCCCCAAGCCAGTACTTCCTCCCAAATCCTGGATAGCCTATTGATTGTTGCTTCATTCAGATTTGTACAATCGAATGAAGCAGAAGCTTCACACACATCTTTTGATTATTGCCCATAAACTTATAATGTAAGAAGGTAGTTGATATGATATATCTTGTATATCTCTATATTGAAAATAGGTGTATATATATACAAATAATATATATGTTTAATAGGCATTGGACTAGGCACACCAGTGTGGTTCGTAGATTTTTGAAATTCGTATCTCCTCTACTTGTCCCACCCCTGCGCACGTGAGAGTCCTAAGACCTCTCTTTGATTCAAAAGTTAGATAGCACTAGTGTATATATATATATATATATATATATATATACTCAAATATCTTTGGATGTTTAGTCGATGTGGGATTGAGTTCCCACATAGAAGCACTCTTTTAGTTAAAATATTTTTACAATCCCCCACTTATTTTAATAAAAGATACACTATATAAGTAACCGGGCAATAAATAGAATATCATGCATTGCAAAAGTGGCAATGCCTTTAAACCTTTACCTAGTGCTTCAATATTCCTGTACTAGAGTTAAAGTGGACTTAGCCTTTAAATGATGACTACTTGAGGGTACGTAGAACCATATCACACACATGATATTCAAAGTGTCCAAAACCAAGCTTAAAAACCAGCACATTTTTGGTCTTGTGCTTTATCCCAGTTTCTTGAGTGCTTTAGAGAGTTAGCCCAAATTCTCATAGGAAGCGGCCCGCCTTCCACACTCATATAGGTGAGTCTATCAACGATGTTCTCATAACTAAGACATCCCACACAAAAAGGGTTATAGAACTCATTAAGAGATATTGATTTCATCC